ATATATATATATATATATATATGTGTATGTATATGTGGAATTGCTTGTCATCCAGCATGTTGTGATGTTTATTAAAGCAGAGCCAAATATCTAACAGCAATAATTTCCAAACTTTTTCATCCATTCATTAATCTACTCAACAAATACTTATTAAGGAACTATTTATTGTGCTTGGTATTCCACTGAGGATAAAAAGTGATTATTAAAATAGTGTCTGTTTGGCAGTGCCTGTAGCACAGTGGTGGCACCGACCACATACACTGAGGCTTGTGGGTTTGAGCCCAGCCTGGGCCTGCTAAACAACAATGACAACTGCTACCAAAAAATAGCTGGGTGTTGTGTCAAGCGCCTGTAGTCCCAGATAACTTGGGAGGCTGAGGCAAGAGAATCACTCTAAGCCCAAGAGTTTGAGGGTGCTGTGAGCTGCGACATCATAGCACTCTACCAAGGGCGACATAGTGAAACTCTGTCTCAAAAAAAAAAAAGAAATATAACAAACAACTACACAATATCCTTTTAATTAAAGATTATATATTCTTGAAGTTTGGTGCAGTGGTGCTGCTTATAGTCCTAACTATTTAGGAAGCTGAGGTGGGAAGACCCCTTGTGCCCAGGAGTTTGTTACCAGCCCGGGCAACATAGTGAGACCCTGTCTCCAAACACCCCCCTGCCCCCAAAGATTGTATATTCTTATATTCTTTCCTGACATAAATTTCATATTGATAGGTTGAATCAAAGCTGGAGCTACTCAGGGTTTGGTATTGAGCCTCCTTCTTTGCTCACTCTACCCTCTGTAACGAAGAGGTCACACATGCAAACAGTAACAGAGAAGGATCCTGACTTCCTGATAACACAAAGTTCTATAACTTTCTACCATCTACTTGGAGTTTTATGTAAAAGAAAAATAAACTGCTAGCTCATTTGAGCTAGTTAAAAAGAAAGAAAGCTAGGCTTGATCTCAAATCACAAATGAATTATTTTGGAGAATAATTAGAAATAAATGGTAAGTAGTTGCCTTTTTACAGTTGTATCAAAATTGTGGTGTCCTTTCTCTCTCTCCTTTCACCCCCAATTTTAGTTTCCCAATATCTAAAATTTTGGTGTGAATGTCATTAGATATCCCTGACTGGGTCAGGCCCCAGCTCCACCACTTAATAGCCTTTGTGACATTATGCTAATTAATTAATTTCATCAAACCTTGTTTGTAATCTAAAAACTAGAGATGATAAAAGTACCATTAGTGGGCTCAGCGCCTGTGGCTCAAGTGGCTAAGG